AAGTCACATTTGTGTCATTTTTTTTCATAAGGGTGGATTCTACCCAGAATTTAAAAAAGGCTCCAAAATTTGATAAAATATAGCTAATTAAGCAAAATTGAAAGGCTTTAAAAAGACTAATTCAGAATTTTTTTTATGCTTATGAAAAGTAAATTATTTGAGACTCTGATATACTAATTGATTCTTATCTAACCCCTCATGTTGCTTAAGTATGTGCAAAAAAGTATCACCACCCCCCAGTGAAAGACACTTAGAGAAATAGCAGGTGCCCCCTATTATATTTGTTTACAATAAATTTAAATGAGAGAAAATCAATCCTTTTGATAATAAATGAAAGTTCAGTATCTACAGTCTTATACAGTACAATCTTAATCTACAGGATGGAGTTTTATGCATAGAAAAGGGGAATTTAGATCAATTTTTCAAAAATAAGAAATGCAATAATTTTGACTTTAAACCCCAAAATGCACAACATAATAAGAGGCTGGAAAGTTAAAAAGTGGAAAATTTACCTGCTATGTACAGAAAACTGTCCGACAAAATATATCGGGTGGGTAGCGAGTCTCCGTCTTCTTCTTGTATAGAGAAAATGCCCCCGCTGAGCAGGTACCCAACTCTCCCGGGGCCGAGGAAGCTGAAAGATGAAAGTCCTCTACAGTGCTAAAAACAAAATAAATCAGAAAAATTAGTCAAATCACATCTTAAGCATTTATTTAACAGCAATATTTTTCAGGTTTTCTAGAAAATAAAAAAATTACACACCTTCTACATTGTTTATTGTTTTAAAAATGTACCCCCAAAGGGTGGGGTACATGTTACACAATATTACATGTAATTACATGTAAATACAAAAAGGCCTAATCTTATACATGCATTTTTAAGTCATTCCAATAATTCCTGGAAAAAATCAGAAGTCTAGGTTCTCTACAATAAAGATTTTATGATGTTGAAATTCTACATGCCTGGTTTGTAAGTCTAAGGGAAGTAACTCTAATTACAAAAACTGGAAAGCAGTAAAAAATGAGTTGCCGAGGGCTACGCTGATGAAAAAAACAAGCAGCAAGAAAGGAAAAATACAGACCTAAGTGTAGCTACACCAAAGAAACAACTTCACTACAAATTCAGTACCCTGCAGTCCAAGTAAAGCAATCCAGAGAATCACACGCACTACCAGCCATAAGATGTCAAGAGAGAAAAGTGTGCAACTTTGACATGACCACTATAGAATGCCCTTTTTAGGTTCACCAGAACTATTTGAAAAGATACCGTATGCAACCGTTAAAGAAATGAAATGAAATGAACACCAGGTCACAGCCCCTACAATGCCATACATGTACATATATATAGAACACAACACATAAATACACACATGTAAATACATATAATATTAATGTACATGCATATATTTATACAAACTTACTTACACATAAATATTCATCATAAGAGCAATCTGATGCACTTTATTAACTTCCTCCCCTCCTCGGACAATATCAAATGCACCACGCTATACTAATTTCTACATTCTACTCACTACCCCCCCCCCCCCTTACCGAGAACAGAATTCCTCCAAAATCTCAACACATGAAAAACAATTCCATTTTTTTTGCTATTTACCTCTCAGTGTGTCATCAATATTCGGATTAAGAGCAAAAAATCACTTTTCATGACTTTAAATTCACTTAACATTTTAAAAATTTGGGTCTCTATAGGGAAAAGAGTACCAATTATTTTCCCATAGAACTCTATACAAACATTTTGTCCTCTCACTACTATACTAATTTAATTTCAGATAATTCCTTGGCATCGTTTGAAACTTTAATCCAAGCGCTTATAAAAAATCCCGGAAAAAATATAGGGTCCCATGGCGTTTATAGGTCAAAATTGCAGTTCTTTAAAACTTATAGGTTTCGGCAGTAAATAACGCTCTGCAAAAAAAATCAACCCCCACTCCTACAATCTCCCCTGGTATTTCTATATTCTCTGTAATATTCCTACATTCCATCATTTATTTCAAATATTAATATTTTTACTTTAAAATGAAAAACATTACATACCTCATTTCAGCCAATCAGGTAATGCCGACCTATTCAGTACTCGACTCTACATTGTGCCACAAACAACGCCATGTGCTCATCCGGGGATTTGGTACTCTCATTCCTATACTTACATATTTACCTCTCCCAGAATTAGTCAATTTTGTAATTTTCAAAGACTTTATACTTACCAATGAATATGTATAAAATTTTAGGCCTGTCACTTCAGTGTCTTGGAAGCTGTGACAATCTTAATTAATGACACCTCCCTCCATTAAGTAGAATTCCAGGGAGTGAGAAACTGTCATTCCTTTGATGTGACCTGGATACAGTTGTGACTGTAATGAATAAAACATTTATAAATTGCATGATTTTGTTTTTTATTGTCAATAAAATGATATAAAGTCACATTTGTGTCATTTTTTTTCATAAGGGTGGATTCTACCCAGAATTTAAAAAAGGCTCCAAAATTTGATAAAATATAGCTAATTAAGCAAAATTGAAAGGCTTTAAAAAGACTAATTCAGAATTTTTTTTATGCTTATGAAAAGTAAATTATTTGAGACTCTGATATACTAATTGATTCTTATCTAACCCCTCATGTTGCTTAAGTATGTGCAAAAAAGTATCACCACCCCCCAGTGAAAGACACTTAGAGAAATAGCAGGTGCCCCCTATTATATTTGTTTACAATAAATTTAAATGAGAGAAAATCAATCCTTTTGATAATAAATGAAAGTTCAGTATCTACAGTCTTATACAGTACAATCTTAATCTACAGGATGGAGTTTTATGCATAGAAAAGGGGAATTTAGATCAATTTTTCAAAAATAAGAAATGCAATAATTTTGACTTTAAACCCCAAAATGCACAACATAATAAGAGGCTGGAAAGTTAAAAAGTGGAAAATTTACCTGCTATGTACAGAAAACTGTCCGACAAAATATATCGGGTGGGTAGCGAGTCTCCGTCTTCTTCTTGTATAGAGAAAATGCCCCCGCTGAGCAGGTACCCAACTCTCCCGGGGCCGAGGAAGCTGAAAGATGAAAGTCCTCTACAGTGCTAAAAACAAAATAAATCAGAAAAATTAGTCAAATCACATCTTAAGCATTTATTTAACAGCAATATTTTTCAGGTTTTCTAGAAAATAAAAAAATTACACACCTTCTACATTGTTTATTGTTTTAAAAATGTACCCCCAAAGGGTGGGGTACATGTTACACAATATTACATGTAATTACATGTAAATACAAAAAGGCCTAATCTTATACATGCATTTTTAAGTCATTCCAATAATTCCTGGAAAAAATCAGAAGTCTAGGTTCTCTACAATAAAGATTTTATGATGTTGAAATTCTACATGCCTGGTTTGTAAGTCTAAGGGAAGTAACTCTAATTACAAAAACTGGAAAGCAGTAAAAAATGAGTTGCCGAGGGCTACGCTGATGAAAAAAACAAGCAGCAAGAAAGGAAAAATACAGACCTAAGTGTAGCTACACCAAAGAAACAACTTCACTACAAATTCAGTACCCTGCAGTCCAAGTAAAGCAATCCAGAGAATCACACGCACTACCAGCCATAAGATGTCAAGAGAGAAAAGTGTGCAACTTTGACATGACCACTATAGAATGCCCTTTTTAGGTTCACCAGAACTATTTGAAAAGATACCGTATGCAACCGTTAAAGAAATGAAATGAAATGAACACCAGGTCACAGCCCCTACAATGCCATACATGTACATATATATAGAACACAACACATAAATACACACATGTAAATACATATAATATTAATGTACATGCATATATTTATACAAACTTACTTACACATAAATATTCATTATAAGAGCAATCTGATGCACTTTATTAACTTACTCCCCTCCTCAGACAATATCAAATGGTCCACGCTATACTAATATCTACATTCTACTCACTACCCCCCCCCCCCCCCCCCCCCCCTTACCGAGAACAGAATTCCTCCAAAATCTCAACACATGAAAAACAATTCCATTTTTTTTGCTATTTACCTCTCAGTGTGTCATCAATATTCGGATTAAGAGCAAAAAATCACTTTTCATGACTTTAAATTCACTTAACATTTTAAAAATTTGGGTCTCTATAGGGAAAAGAGTACCAATTATTTTCCCATAGAACTCTATACAAACATTTTGTCCTCTCACTACTATACTAATTTAATTTCAGATAATTCCTTGGCATCGTTTGAAACTTTAATCCAAGCGCTTATAAAAAATCCCGGAAAAAATATAGGGTCCCATGGCGTTTATAGGTCAAAATTGCAGTTCTTTAAAACTTATAGGTTTCGGCAGTAAATAACGCTCTGCAAAAAAAATCACCCCCACTCCTACAATCTCCCCTGGTATTTCTATATTCTCTGTAATATTCCTACATTCCATCATTTATTTCAAATATTAATATTTTTACTTTAAAATGAAAAACATTACATACCTCATTTCAGCCAATCAGGTAATGCCGACCTATTCAGTACTCGACTCTACATTGTGCCACAAACAACGCCATGTGCTCATCCGGGGATTTGGTACTCTCATACTTACATATTTACCTCTCCCAGAATTAGTCAATTTTGTAATTTTCAAAGACTTTATACTTACCATGAATATGTATAAAATTTTAGGCCTGTCACCTCATCCAGGTAATGTCACCTTTGATACTCGACTACATTGTGCCACAAACAATAAATTGCCATGTGCTCATCCGGGGATTTGTGTATTCTTTTTCCTATACTTACATATTTACCTCTCCCAGAATTAGTCAATTTTGTAATTTTCAAAGACTTTATACTTACCAATGAATATGTATGTATAAAATGGCCTGTCACTTCAGTGTCTTGGAAGCTGTGACAATCTTACTTCAGTGTCTGGAGAAATAGCACCCCCTATTATATTTGTTTAATGACACCTCCCTCCATTTAGAATTCCAGGGAGAAAATGAGAAACTGTCATTCCTTTGATGTGACCTGGATACATTTATGACTGTAATGAATAAAATATTTATAAATTGCATGATTTTGTTTTTTAATGTCAATTAAATGATATAAAGTCACATTTGTGTCATTTTTTTCATAAGGGTGGATTCTACCCAGAATTTAAAAAAGGCTCCAAAATTTGATAAAATATAGCTAATTAAGCAAAATTGAAAGGCTTTAAAAAGACTAATTCAGAATTTTTTTTATGCTTATGAATACTTACATTTTAAAAATTTGTAAATTATTTGAGACTCTGATATACTAATTGATTCTTATCTAACCCCTCATGTTGCTTAAGTATGTGCAAAAAAGTATCACCACCCCCCAGTGAAAGACACTTAGAGAAATAGCAGGTGCCCCCTATGCCCCCTATTTATATTTGACCCAGAATTTAAAAAAGGCTCCAATATAGCTAATTAAGCAAAATTGAAAGGCTTTAAAAAGAAATTCAGAATTTTTTTTATGCTTATGATCTAACCCCTCATGTTGAGAAAAATTTTAAATGAGAGAAAATCAATCCTTTTGATAATAAATGAAAGTTCAGTATCTACAGTCTTATACAGTACAATCTTAATCTACAGGATGGAGTTTTATGCATAGAAAAGGGGAATTTAGATCAATTTTTCAAAAATAAGAAATGCAATAATTTTGACTTTAAACCCCAAAATGCACAACATAATAAGAGGCTGGAAAGTTAAAAAGTGGAAAATTTACCTGCTATGTACAGAAAACTGTCCGACAAAATATATCGGGTGGGTAGCGAGTCTCCGTCTTCTTCTTGTATAGAGAAAATGCCCCCGCTGAGCAGGTACCCAACTCTCCCGGGGCCGAGGAAGCTGAAAGATGAAAGTCCTCTACAGTGCTAAAAACAAAATAAATCAGAAAAATTAGTCAAATCACATCTTAAGCATTTATTTAACAGCAATATTTTCAGGTTTTCTAGAAAATAAAAAAATTACACACCTTCTACATTGTTTATTGTTTTAAAAATGTACCCCCAAAGGGTGGGGTACATGTTACACAATATTACATGTAATTACATGTAAATACAAAAAGGCCTAATCTTATACATGCATTTTTAAGTCATTCCAATAATTCCTGGAAAAAATCAGAAGTCTAGGTTCTCTACAATAAAGATTTTATGATGTTGAAATTCTACATGCCTGGTTTGTAAGTCTAAGGGAAGTAACTCTAATTACAAAAACTGGAAAGCAGTAAAAAATGAGTTGCCGAGGGCTACGCTGATGAAAAAAACAAGCAGCAAGAAAGGAAAAATACAGACCTAAGTGTAGCTACACCAAAGAAACAACTTCACTACAAATTCAGTACCCTGCAGTCCAAGTAAAGCAATCCAGAGAATCACACGCACTACCAGCCATAAGATGTCAAGAGAGAAAAGTGTGCAACTTTGACATGACCACTATAGAATGCCCTTTTTAGGTTCACCAGAACTATTTGAAAAGATACCGTATGCAACCGTTAAAGAAATGAAATGAAATGAACACCAGGTCACAGCCCCTACAATGCCATACATGTACATATATATAGAACACAACACATAAATACACACATGTAAATACATATAATATTAATGTACATGCATATATTTATACAAACTTACTTACACATAAATATTCATCATAAGAGCAATCTGATGCACTTTATTAACTTACTCCCCTCCTCGGACAATATCAAATGCACCACGCTATACTAATATCTACATTCTACTCACTACCCCCCCCGCCCCCCCCCCCTCCCCCTTACCGAGAACAGAATTCCTCCAAAATCTCAACACATGAAAAACAATTCCATTTTTTTTGCTATTTACCTCTCAGTGTGTCATCAATATTCGGATTAAGAGCAAAAAATCACTTTTCATGACTTTAAATTCACTTAACATTTTAAAAATTTGGGTCTCTATAGGGAAAAGAGTACCAATTATTTTCCCATAGAACTCTATACAAACATTTTGTCCTCTCACTACTATACTAATTTAATTTCAGATAATTCCTTGGCATCGTTTGAAACTTTAATCCAAGCGCTTATAAAAAATCCCGGAAAAAATATAGGGTCCCATGGCGTTTATAGGTCAAAATTGCAGTTCTTTAAAACTTATAGGTATCGGCAGTAAATAACGCTCTGCAAAAAAAATCAACCCCCACTCCTACAATCTCCCCTGGTATTTCTATATTCTCTGTAATATTCCTACATTCCATCATTTATTTCAAATATTAATATTTTTACTTTAAAATGAAAAACATTACATACCTCATTTCAGCCAATCAGGTAATGCCGACCTATTCAGTACTCGACTCTACATTGTGCCACAAACAACGCCATGTGCTCATCCGGGGATTTGGTACTCTCATTCCTATACTTACATATTTACCTCTCCCAGAATTAGTCAATTTTGTAATTTTCAAAGACTTTATACTTACCAATGAATATGTATAAAATTTTAGGCCTGTCACTTCAGTGTCTTGGAAGCTGTGACAATCTTAATTAATGACACCTCCCTCCATTAAGTAGAATTCCAGGGAGTGAGAAACTGTCATTCCTTTGATGTGACCTGGATACAGTTGTGACTGTAATGAATAAAACATTTATAAATTGCATGATTTTGTTTTTTATTGTCAATAAAATGATATAAAGTCACATTTGTGTCATTTTTTTCATAAGGGTGGATTCTACCCAGAATTTAAAAAAGGCTCCAAAATTTGATAAAATATAGCTAATTAAGCAAAATTGAAAGGCTTTAAAAAGACTAATTCAGAATTTTTTTTATGCTTATGAAAAGTAAATTATTTGAGACTCTGATATACTAATTGATTCTTATCTAACCCCTCATGTTGCTTAAGTATGTGCAAAAAAGTATCACCACCCCCCAGTGAAAGACACTTAGAGAAATAGCAGGTGCCCCCTATTATATTTGTATACAATACATTTAAATGAGAGAAAATCAATCCTTTAGATAATAAATGAAAGTTCAGTATCTACAGTCTTATACAGTACAATCTTAATCTACAGGATGGAGTTTTATGCATAGAAAAGGGGAATTTAGATCAATTTTTCAAAAATAAGAAATGCAATAATTTTGACTTTAAACCCCAAAATGCACAACATAATAAGAGGCTGGAAAGTTAAAAAGTGGAAAATTTACCTGCTATGTACAGAAAACTGTCCGACAAAATATATCGGGTGGGTAGCGAGTCTCCGTCTTCTTCTTGTATAGAGAAAATGCCCCCGCTGAGCAGGTACCCAACTCTCCCGGGGCCGAGGAAGCTGAAAGATGAAAGTCCTCTACAGTGCTAAAAACAAAATAAATCAGAAAAATTAGTCAAATCACATCTTAAGCATTTATTTAACAGCAATATTTTTCAGGTTTTCTAGAAAATAAAAAAATTACACACCTTCTACATTGTTTATTGTTTTAAAAATGTCCAAAGGGTGGGGTACATGTTACACAATATTACATGTAATTACATGTAAATACAAAAAGGCCTAATCTTATACATGCATTTTTAAGTCATTCCAATAATTCCTGGAAAAAATCAGAAGTCTAGGTTCTCTACAATAAAGATTTTATGATGTTGAAATTCTACATGCCTGGTTTGTAAGTCTAAGGGAAGTAACTCTAATTACAAAAACTGGAAAGCAGTAAAAAATGAGTTGCCGAGGGCTACGCTGATGAAAAAAACAAGCAGCAAGAAAGGAAAAATACAGACCTAAGTGTAGCTACACCAAAGAAACAACTTCACTACAAATTCAGTACCCTGCAGTCCAAGTAAAGCAATCCAGAGAATCACACGCACTACCAGCCATAAGATGTCAAGAGAGAAAAGTGTGCAACTTTGACATGACCACTATAGAATGCCCTTTTTAGGTTCACCAGAACTATTTGAAAAGATACCGTATGCAACCGTTAAAGAAATGAAATGAAATGAACACCAGGTCACAGCCCCTACAATGCCATACATGTACATATATATAGAACACAACACATAAATACACACATGTAAATACATATAATATTAATGTACATGCATATATTTATACAAACTTACTTACACATAAATATTCATCATAAGAGCAATCTGATGCACTTTATTAACTTACTCCCCTCCTCGGACAATATCAAATGCACCACGCTATACTAATTTCTACATTCTACTCACTACCCCCCCCCCCCTACCCAGAACAGAATTCCTCCAAAATCTCAACACGTGAAAAACAATTCCATTTTTTTTGCTATTTACCTCTCAGTGTGTCATCAATATTCGGATTAAGAGCAAAAAATCACTTTTCATGACTTTAAATTCACTTAACATTTTAAAAATTTGGGTCTCTATAGGGAAAAGAGTACCAATTATTTTCCCATAGAACTCTATACAAACATTTTGTCCTCTCACTACTATACTAATTTAATTTCAGATAATTCCTTGGCATCGTTTGAAACTTTAATCCAAGCGCTTATAAAAAATCCCGGAAAAAATATAGGGTCCCATGGCGTTTATAGGTCAAAATTGCAGTTCTTTAAAACTTATAGGTTTCGGCAGTAAATAACGCTCTGCAAAAAAAATCAACCCCCACTCCTACAATCTCCCCTGGTATTTCTATATTCTCTGTAATATTCCTACATTCCATCATTTATTTCAAATATTAATATTTTTACTTTAAAATGAAAAACATTACATACCTCATTTCAGCCAATCAGGTAATGCCGACCTATTCAGTACTCGACTCTACATTGTGCCACAAACAACGCCATGTGCTCATCCGGGGATTTGGTACTCTCATTCCTATACTTACATATTTACCTCTCCCAGAATTAGTCAATTTTGTAATTTTCAAAGACTTTATACTTACCAATGAATATGTATAAAATTTTAGGCCTGTCACTTCAGTGTCTTGGAAGCTGTGACAATCTTATTTAATGACACCTCCCTCCATTAAGTAGAATTCCAGGGAGTGAGAAACTGTCATTCCTTTGATGTGACCTGGATACAGTTGTGACTGTAATGAATAAAACATTTATAAATTGCATGATTTTGTTTTTTATTGTCAATAAAATGATATAAAGTCACATTTGTGTCATTTTTTTTCATAAGGGTGGATTCTACCCAGAATTTAAAAAAGGCTCCAAAATTTGATAAAATATAGCTAATTAAGCAAAATTGAAAGGCTTTAAAAAGACTAATTCAGAATTTTTTTTTATGCTTATGAAAAGTAAATTATTTGAGACTCTGATATACTAATTGATTCTTATCTAACCCCTCATGTTGCTTAAGTATGTGCAAAAAAGTATCACCACCCCCCAGTGAAAGACACTTAGAGAAATAGCAGGTGCCCCCTATTATATTTGTTTACAATAAATTTAAATGAGAGAAAATCAATCCTTTTGATAATAAATGAAAGTTCAGTATCTACAGTCTTATACAGTACAATCTTAATCTACAGGATGGAGTTTTATGCATAGAAAAGGGGAATTTAGATCAATTTTTCAAAAATAAGAAATGCAATAATTTTGACTTTAAACCCCAAAATGCACAACATAATAAGAGGCTGGAAAGTTAAAAAGTGGAAAATTTACCTGCTATGTACAGAAAACTGTCCGACAAAATATATCGGGTGGGTAGCGAGTCTCCGTCTTCTTCTTGTATAGAGAAAATGCCCCCGCTGAGCAGGTACCCAACTCTCCCGGGGCCGAGGAAGCTGAAAGATGAAAGTCCTCTACAGTGCTAAAAACAAAATAAATCAGAAAAATTAGTCAAATCACATCTTAAGCATTTATTTAACAGCAATATTTTTCAGGTTTTCTAGAAAATAAAAAAATTACACACCTTCTACATTGTTTATTGTTTTAAAAATGTACCCCCAAAGGGTGGGGTACATGTTACACAATATTACATGTAATTACATGTAAATACAAAAAGGTCTAATCTTATACATGCATTTTTAAGTCATTCCAATAATTCCTGGAAAAAATCAGAAGTCTAGGTTCTCTACAATAAAGATTTTATGATGTTGAAATTCTACATGCCTGGTTTGTAAGTCTAAGGGAAGTAACTCTAATTACAAAAACTGGAAAGCAGTAAAAAATGAGTTGCCGAGGGCTACGCTGATGAAAAAAACAAGCAGCAAGAAAGGAAAAATACAGACCTAAGTGTAGCTACACCAAAGAAACAACTTCACTACAAATTCAGTACCCTGCAGTCCAAGTAAAGCAATCCAGAGAATCACACGCACTACCAGCCATAAGATGTCAAGAGAGAAAAGTGTGCAACTTTGACATGACCACTATAGAATGCCCTTTTTAGGTTCACCAGAACTATTTGAAAAGATACCGTATGCAACCGTTAAAGAAATGAAATGAAATGAACACCAGGTCACAGCCCCTACAATGCCATACATGTACATATATATAGAACACACATAAATACACACATGTAAATACATATAATATTAATGTACATGCATATATTTATACAAACTTACTTACACATAAATATTCATCATAAGAGCAATCTGATGCACTTTATTAACTTACTCTCCTCCTCGGACAATATCAAATGTACCACGCTATACTAATATCTACATTCTACTCACTACCCCCCCCGCCCCCCCCCCCCCCCTTACCGAGAACAGAATTCCTCCAAAATCTCAACACATGAAAAACAATTCCATTTTTTTTGCTATTTACCTCTCAGTGTGTCATCAATATTCGGATTAAGAGCAAAAAATCACTTTTCATGACTTTAAATTCACTTAACATTTTAAAAATTTGGGTCTCTATAGGGAAAAGAGTACCAATTATTTTCCCATAGAACTCTATACAAACATTTTGTCCTCTCACTACTATACTAATTTAATTTCAGATAATTCCTTGGCATCGTTTGAAACTTTAATCCAAGCGCTTATAAAAAATCCCGGGAAAAATATAGGGTCCCATGGCGTTTATAGGTCAAAATTGCAGTTCTTTAAAACTTATAGGTATCAGCAGTAAATAACGCTCTGCAAAAAAAATCAACCCCCACTCCTACAATCTCCCCTGGTATTTCTATATTCTCTGTAATATTCCTACATTCCATCATTTATTTCAAATATTAATATTTTTACTTTAAAATGAAAAACATTACATACCTCATTTCAGCCAATCAGGTAATGCCGACCTATTCAGTACTCGACTCTACATTGTGCCACAAACAACGCCATGTGCTCATCCGGGGATTTGGTACTCTCATTCCTATACTTACATATTTACCTCTCCCAGAATTAGTCAATTTTGTAATTTTCAAAGACTTTATACTTACCAATGAATATGTATAAAATTTTAGGCCTGTCACTTCAGTGTCTTGGAAGCTGTGACAATCTTAATTAATGACACCTCCCTCCATTAAGTAGAATTCCAGGGAGTGAGAAACTGTCATTCCTTTCCTTTGATGTGACCTGGATACAGTTGTGACTGTAATGAATAAAACATTTATAAATTGCATGATTTTGTTTTTTATTGTCAATAAAATGATATAAAGTCACATTTGTGTCATTTTTTTTCATAAGGGTGGATTCTACCCAGAATTTAAAAAAGGCTCCAAAATTTGATAAAATATAGCTAATTAAGCAAAATTGAAAGGCTTTAAAAAGACTAATTCAGAATTTTTTTTATGCTTATGAAAAGTAAATTATTTGAGACTCTGATATACTAATTGATTCTTATCTAACCCCTCATGTTGCTTAAGTATGTGCAAAAAAGTATCACCACCCCCCAGTGAAAGACACTTAGAGAAATAGCAGGTGCCCCCTATTATATTTGTTTACAATAAATTTAAATGAGAGAAAATCAATCCTTTTGATAATAAATGAAAGTTCAGTATCTACAGTCTTATACAGTACAATCTTAATCTACAGGATGGAGTTTTATGCATAGAAAAGGGGAATTTAGATCAATTTTTCAAAAATAAGAAATGCAATAATTTTGACTTTAAACCCCAAAATGCACAACATAATAAGAGGCTGGAAAGTTAAAAAGTGGAAAATTTACCTGCTATGTACAGAAAACTGTCCGACAAAATATATCGGGTGGGTAGCGAGTCTCCGTCTTCTTCTTGTATAGAGAAAATGCCCCCGCTGAGCAGGTACCCAACTCTCCCGGGGCCGAGGAAGCTGAAAGATGAAAGTCCTCTACAGTGCTAAAAACAAAATAAATCAGAAAAATTAGTCAAATCACATCTTAAGCATTTATTTAACAGCAATATTTTTCAGGTTTTCTAGAAAATAAAAAAATTACACACCTTCTACATTGTTTATTGTTTTAAAAATGTACCCCCAAAGGGTGGGGTACATGTTACACAATATTACATGTAATTACATGTAAATACAAAAAGGCCTAATCTTATACATGCATTTTTAAGTCATTCCAATAATTCCTGGAAAAAATCAGTAGTCTAGGTTCTCTACAATAAAGATTTTATGATGTTGAAATTCTACATGCCTGGTTTGTAAGTCTAAGGGAAGTAACTCTAATTACAAAAACTGGAAAGCAGTAAAAAATGAGTTGCCGAGGGCTACGCTGATGAAAAAAACAAGCAGCAAGAAAGGAAAAATACAGACCTAAGTGTAGCTACACCAAAGAAACAACTTCACTACAAATTCAGTACCCTGCAGTCCAAGTAAAGCAATCCAGAGAATCACACGCACTACCAGCCATAAGATGTCAAGAGAGAAAAGTGTGCAACTTTGACATGACCACTATAGAATGCCCTTTTTAGGTTCACCAGAACTATTTGAAAAGATACCGTATGCAACCGTTAAAGAAATGAAATGAAATGAACACCAGGTCACGCCCCTACAATGCCATACATGTACATATATATAGAACACAACACATAAATACACACATGTAAATACATATAATATTAATGTACATGCATATATTTATACAAACTTACTTACACATAAATATTCATCATAAGAGCAATCTGATGCACTTTATTCACTTACTCCCCTCCTCGGACAATATCAAATGCACCACGCTATACTAATATCTACATTCTACTCACTACCCCCCCCCCCCCCCCCCCCTTACCGAGAACAGAATTCCTCCAAAATCTCAACACATGAAAAACAATTCCATTTTTTTTGCTATTTACCTCTCAGTGTGTCATCAATATTCGGATTAAGAGCAAAAAATCACTTTTCATGACTTTAAATTCACTTAACATTTTAAAAATTTGGGTCTCTATAGGGAAAAGAGTACCAATTATTTTCCCATAGAACTCTATACAAACATTTTGTCCTCTCACTACTATACTAATTTAATTTCAGATAATTCCTTGGCATCGTTTGAAACTTTAATCCAAGCGCTTATAAAAAATCCCGGAAAAAATATAGGGTCCCATGGCGTTTATAGGTCAAAATTGCAGTTCTTTAAAACTTATAGGTTTCGGCAGTAAATAACGCTCTGCAAAAAAAATCAACCCCCACTCCTACAATCTCCCCTGGTATTTCTATATTCTCTGTAATATTCCTACATTCCATCATTTATTTCAAATATTAATATTTTTACTTTAAAATGAAAAACATTACATACCTCATTTCAGCCAATCAGGTAATGCCGACCTATTCAGTACTCGACTCTACATTGTGCCACAAACAACGCCATGTGCTCATCCGGGGATTTGGTACTCTCATTCCTATACTTACATATTTACCTCTCCCAGAATTAGTCAATTTTGTAATTTTCAAAGACTTTATACTTACCAATGAATATGTATAAAATTTTAGGCCTGTCACTTCAGTGTCTTGGAAGCTGTGACAATCTTAATTAATGACACCTCCCTCCATTAAGTAGAATTCCAGGGAGTGAGAAACTGTCATTCCTTTGATGTGACCTGGATACAGTTGTGACTGTAATGAATAAAACATTTATAAATTGCATGATTTTGTTTTTTATTGTCAATAAAATGATATAAAGTCACATTTGTGTCATTTTTTTTCATAAGGGTGGATTCTACCCAGAATTTAAAAAAGGCTCCAAAATTTGATAAAATATAGCTAATTAAGCAAAATTGAAAGGCTTTAAAAAGACTAATTCAGAATTTTTTTTATGCTTATGAAAAGTAAATTATTTGAGACTCTGATATACTAATTGATTCTTATCTAACCCCTCATGTTGCTTAAGTATGTGCAAAAAAGTATCACCACCCCCCAGTGAAAGACACTTAGAGAAATAGCAGGTGCCCCCTATTATATTTGTTTACAATAAATTTAAATGAGAGAAAATCAATCCTTTTGATAATAAATGAAAGTTCAGTATCTACAGTCTTATACAGTACAATCTTAATCTACAGGATGGAGTTTTATGCATAGAAAAGGGGAATTTAGATCAATTTTTCAAAAATAAGAAATGCAATAATTTTGACTTTAAACCCCAAAATGCACAACATAATAAGAGGCTGGAAAGTTAAAAAGTGGAAAATTTACCTGCTATGTACAGAAAACTGTCCGACAAAATATATCGGGTGGGTAGCGAGTCTCCGTCTTCTTCTTGTATAGAGAAAATGCCCCCGCTGAGCAGGTACCCAACTCTCCCGGGGCCGAGGAAGCTGAAAGATGAAAGTCCTCTACAGTGCTAAAAACAAAATAAATCAGAAAAATTAGTCAAATCACATCTTAAGCATTTATTTAACAGCAATATTTTTCAGGTTTTCTAGAAAATAAAAAAATTACACACCTTCTACATTGTTTATTGTTTTAAAAATGTACCCCCAAAGGGTGGGGTACATGTTACACAATATTACATGTAATTACATGTAAATACAAAAAGGCCTAATCTTATACATGCATTTTTAAGTCATTCCAATAATTCCTGGAAAAAATCAGAAGTCTAGGTTCTCTACAATAAAGATTTTATGATGTTGAAATTCTACATGCCTGGTTTGTAAGTCTAAGGGAAGTAACTCTAATTACAAAAACTGGAAAGCAGTAAAAAATGAGTTGCCGAGGGCTACGCTGATGAAAAAACAAGCAGCAAGAAAGGAAAAATACAGACCTAAGTGTAGCTACACCAAAGAAACAACTTCACTACAAATTCAGTACCCTGCAGTCCAAGTAAAGCAATCCAGAGAATCACACGCACTACCAGCCATAAGATGTCAAGAGAGAAAAGTGTGCAACTTTGACATGACCACTATAGAATGCCCTTTTTAGGTTCACCAGAACTATTTGAAAAGATACCGTATGCAACCGTTAAAGAAATGAAATGAAATGAACACCAGGTCACAGCCCCTACAATGCCATACATGTACATATATATAGAACACAACACATAATACACACACATAAATACATATAATATTAATGTACATGCATATATTTATACAAACTTACTTACACATAAATATTCATCATAAGAGCAATCTGATGCACTTTATTAACTTACTCTCCTCCTCGGACAATATCAAATGTACCACGCTATACTAATATCTACATTCTACTCACTACCCCCCCCCCCCTACCGAGAACAGAATTCCTCCAAAATCTCAACACATGAAAAACAATTCCATTTTTTTTGCTATTTACCTCTCAGTGTGTCATCAATATTCGGATTAAGAGCAAAAAATCACTTTTCATGACTTTAAATTCACTTAACATTTTAAAAATTTGGGTCTCTATAGGGAAAAGAGTACCAATTATTTTCCCATAGAACTCTATACAAACATTTTGTCCTCTCACTACTATACTAATTTAATTTCAGATAATTCCTTGGCATCGTTTGAAACTTTAATCCAAGCGCTTATAAAAAATCCCGGAAAAAATATAGGGTCCCATGGCGTTTATAGGTCAAAATTGCAGTTCTTTAAAACTTATAGGTATCGGCAGTAAATAACGCTCTGCAAAAAAAATCAACCCCCACTCCTACAATCTCCCCTGGTATTTCTATATTCTCTGTAATATTCTTACATTCCATCATTTATTTCAAATATTAATATTTTTACTTTAAAATGAAAAACATTACATACCTCATTTCAGCCAATCAGGTAATGCCGACCTATTCAGTACTCGACTCTACATTGTGCCACAAACAACGCCATGTGCTCATCCGGGGATTTGGTACTCTCATTCCTATACTTACATATTTACCTCTCCCAGAATTAGTCAATTTTGTAATTTTCAAAGACTTTATACTTACCAATGAATATGTATAAAATTTTAGGCCTGTCACTTCAGTGTCTTGGAAGCTGTGACAATCTTAATTAATGACACCTCCCTCCATTAAGTAGAATTCCAGGGAGTGAGAAACTGTCATTCCTTTGATGTGACCTGGATACAGTTGTGACTGTAATGAATAAAACATTTATAAATTGCATGATTTTGTTTTTTATTGTCAATAAAATGATATAAAGTCACATTTGTGTCATTTTTTTCATAAGGGTGGATTCTACCCAGAATTTAAAAAAGGCTCCAAAATTTGATAAAATATAGCTAATTAAGCAAAATTGAAAGGCTTTAAAAAGACTAATTCAGAATTTTTTTTATGCTTATGAAAAGTAAATTATTTGAGACTCTGATATACTAATTGATTCTTATCTAACCCCTCATGTTGCTTAAGTATGTGCAAAAAAGTATCACCACCCCCCAGTGAAAGACACTTAGAGAAATAGCAGGTGCCCCCTATTATATTTGTTTACAATAAATTTAAATGAGAGAAAATCAATCCTTTTGATAATAAATGAAAGTTCAGTATCTACAGTCTTATACAGTACAATCTTAATCTACAGGATGGAGTTTTATGCATAGAAAAGGGGAATTTAGATCAATTTTTCAAAAATAAGAAATAAGAAAGCAATAATTTTGACTTTAAACCCCAAAATGCACAACATAATAAGAGGCTGGAAAGTTAAAAAGTGGAAAATTTACCTGCTATGTACAGAAAACTGTCCGACAAAATATATCGGGTGGGTAGCGAGTCTCCGTCTTCTTCTTGTATAGAGAAAATGCCCCCGCTGAGCAGGTACCCAACTCTCCCGGGGCCGAGGAAGCTGAAAGATGAAAGTCCTCTACAGTGCTAAAAACAAAATAAATCAGAAAAATTAGTCAAATCACATCTTAAGCATTTATTTAACAGCAATATTTTTCAGGTTTTCTAGAAAATAAAAAAATTACACACCTTCTACATTGTTTATTGTTTTAAAAATGTACCCCCAAAGGGTGGGGTACATGTTACACAATATTACATGTAATTACATGTAAATACAAAAAGGCCTAATCTTATACATGCATTTTTAAGTCATTCCAATAATTCCTGGAAAAAATCAGAAGTCTAGGTTCTCTACAATAAAGATTTTATGATGTTGAAATTCTACATGCCTGGTTTGTAAGTCTAAGGGAAGTAACTCTAATTACAAAAACTGGAAAGCAGTAAAAAATGAGTTGCCGAGGGCTACGCTGATGAAAAAACAAGCAGCAAGAAAGGAAAAATACAGACCTAAGTGTAGCTACACCAAAGAAACAACTTCACTACAAATTCAGTACCCTGCAGTCCAAGTAAAGCAATCCAGAGAATCACACGCACTACCAGCCATAAGATGTCAAGAGAGAAAAGTGTGCAACTTTGACATGACCACTATAGAATGCCCTTTTTAGGTTCACCAGAACTATTTGAAAAGATACCGTATGCAACCGTTAAAGAAATGAAATGAAATGAACACCAGGTCACAGCCCCTACAATGCCATACATGTACATATATATAGAACACAACACATAAATACACACATGTAAATACATATAATATTAATGTACATGCATATATTTATACAAACTTACTTACACATAAATATTCATCATAAGAGCAATCTGATGCACTTTATTAACTTACTCCCCTCCTCGGACAATATCAAATGCACCACGCTATACTAATATCTACATTCTACTCACTACCCCCCCCCCCCCCCCCCCCCCCCCCTACCGAGAACAGAATTCCTCCAAAATCTCAACACATGAAAAACAATTCCATTTTTTTTGCTATTTACCTCTCAGTGTGTCATCAATATTCGGATTAAGAGCAAAAAATCACTTTTCATGACTTTAAATTCACTTAACATTTTAAAAATTTGGGTCTCTATAGGGAAAAGAGTACCAATTATTTTCCCATAGAACTCTATACAAACATTTTGTCCTCTCACTACTATACTAATTTAATTTCAGATAATTCCTTGGCATCGTTTGAAACTTTAATCCAAGCGCTTATAAAAAATCCCGGAAAAAATATAGGGTCCCATGGCGTTTATAGGTCAAAATTGCAGTTCTTTAAAACTTATAGGTATCGGCAGTAAATAACGCTCTGCAAAAAAAATCAACCCCCACTCCTACAATCTCCCCTGGTATTTCTATATTCTCTGTAATATTCCTACATTCCATCATTTATTTCAAATATTAATATTTTTACTTTAAAATGAAAAACATTACATACCTCATTTCAGCCAATCAGGTAATATAAAAATATATTTTTAAGGTAAAGTGGGTCTTTGCTCCATAATTTTGGAAACAAAAATATGTATGTTTGAATGCAAACGTTTAGAATTAACTTTAAAAAAAAATGGAGAGAAGACCCACTCATATTGAAAAATATTGTTAAACTTAAAGTGTGAAAATATGACTCGTTTTGTCCTTTTTCGTGTGTGTATAATATATCATAGGCAAATATCTTCAATATTTATGAGATTTGTGCAAGTTGAAGAGATTTTACGTAAATTAAAGTATACTGTTATGTTACGTGAAATATTAAGGAAATTTTTGGTATAATTGAGATTTAATTTTTCACCTTAATGTTTGTTGCGCTATGGGCTTATCACTCGTCATGTTCACCCAACTCCTTTGTTTTTTTTTGTTCCATGCATAACCGGTATAAGTACACAAGTCAGTTATTCCTTTAAGAATTTATTAACAGCACACAACTTGTTGTTTTCTACAGGATCTAGATGTCGGCCTTGACATTGTTCAGTTTCCAATTGTCGATCTTGTGTAAAACAACCAATTGTTAAGAAACTATGAAATACGCAATTAAAATGATGAGTTTCAGTAAACAGAAAGACAATATCAATATAATTGAATGATAATTGGAAAGTTCAGTCTGGTTTAAGTGACATCTGGGAAATTTGACGTCTTTTCTGATAAAGGTTCTGCCAAGGTTTTCTTCATATTATAGTTGACAGTCGTACGTCTTGTGTCAAACTCTTTTCGCTCGTATTATTTGGTTAAAAATGTTAGTCAGAAAGCCTATGAACGTAGACGCCTCGGTTCCACTGAAAATGCCTTTTCTTCCTAAACACACGACAATGATGTCAGTGTTGAATCGAAACATAGTATTGCGGGGAAATGAATAAGTCCCGGGGTTGGGGGTGGGGTGGAATGCGTTTAAATTCACCAAACGTATCGTATCATAACATTAAAATACATGTTGTAAACATTCGAGATAAAGGTTTCTAAATATTTATATATTGATAAAAGATTACGCTTTAAAACGGAAAGAGAAATTCTTGTCTGAGATCGTCATTCAATCCCAACATTTAATGATCAGCTATTTGGACAGGTGAAATAAAAGATTTAAGTTCTGTAGATAGATATTCATAAAAATATATATCTCTTAAAATCAAAATTGAAACACATTTTCCTTTCCGACATACTTTCTACTGAAAACTAGAAGTTGAGGCTTATCAATGGTAATAGTACAATTAAACTAAAAGTCATACATGGAAAAAATCTCATATTAGTTCAGCTATGAATCGAGAAATGAATACTAACTTATTGCTAAGGGAATGATTTTTTGCTGTCCTCATGTGTTTTCAGAACGATTCACATAATCAAATAATAATAAAAAATATATCCCCTGAAAATAAGAGTTGAACCTGTCAACAATTAAATGCATAACTATTTTTTCTCTTCATTATTCTCTTCAAAAAGTATCTTTATTGTAAACTTCTTGGAGTACATGTAACTGTCTAGTTTATTGTAGTGTTTTATTTGAACCGGAGACATTGCATCTCATAGGTATACAATATACATACATACATACATACATACATACATACATAAGATTTGTACAGGCTACACAATATACGTGTGTTAATTACATAACAAAATCATTTAATTATTATTTAGTACATCATTTCTGAATTGGTAAGAAAAATACAAAAATTTACCCAGGTTACATAGTTCTTAGTTCTTTTGATATATTTCATTCTAAGCTCTTCATATCGAAGACATTTTAATACAAAATGAAATTCGTCCTCTATCTCACCTGACATGCATATTTCACATTTTCTATCTTTTCTTTCTATGTTACTATACCTTCCCCTCTCTATTCTTAAATCATGAGGTGATAGCCTTAAACGACTGATAGGTATTCTGTACTTTGAATGTATTGATTTTCTGAAATAAGTCTTTAATGCAACATTATCCACTAAATGTTGAAATAAAGAATATTTAGGTGAATTACAAATTCTTGCCATAATTTCTTGTTTATAACAGTCATACATTCTTTGAAATATAATGTTCAGAGTATTATAATCAATACAATTACTATTATACATGTCAGTTAAAAACAAGTCTTTGTAATTCCTTCTTAATGTTTCCAATCCATTCATACAACATGCTTGTAATATACAATTATCACTGTTTTTTTAATTTCACCCAGTATTTCAAAATTTTCTTTTTTCTTTCAAGTATAAGTGGAAATCTACATGTACCTGATTCACAATAAACTGCATCATTACTGGTGCTTTGTCTGACCTTTAAAACTCTTTTACAATAATTTAAGTGAACAATTTCTATGTCTTAACCCTTGTGAAGTCCCCATACTTCAGCTCCATTACTCATAACACTGTTAATATAAGTATCGAATACTGTTTCTACATTAAAATGCAAATCCCTGATTTTACTATTTATACCAAACATAGCTTTTTAGCTAACCTGAGCCGAAGGCTCAAGTGAGCTTTTCTGATCAAGTTTCGTTCGTCGTCCGTCCGCCTGTCTGTCTGTCTGTCCGTCTGTAAACTTTTCACATTTTCGACTTGTTCTCAAGAACCAATGGGCCAATTTTAACAAAGCATCCTTGGGTGAAGGGGAGTTAAAATTGTTAAAATGAAGGGCCAAGTCCCCTTACAAAGGGAGATAATCAAGAAAAGACAAAAAAAGGGTGGGGTCACTAAAAAATCTTCTTCTCAAGAACCACCGGGCCAGGAAAGCTGAAACTTATGTGGAAGCATCCTTGGGTAGTGTAGATATTAAATTGTTTAAATCATGTCCCCCGGGGGTAGGGTGGGCAACAATAGGGAATCCAATTTTTACATAGAAATATATAGGAAAAATCTTCTCTTCTCAAGAACCGACCGGGCCAGGAAAGCTGAAACTTAAGTGGAAGCATCCTTGGGTAGTGTAGATATTAAATTGTTAAAATCATGACCCAAAGGGTTGGGCGGGGCCACAATAGGAAATCCAAATTTTACATAGAAATATATAGAACAAATACTTAAAAATCTTCTTCTCAAGAACCACTGGGCCAGGAAAGCTGAAACTTATATGGAAGCATCCTGGGGTAGTGTAGATATTAAATTGTTAAAATCATGACCCCCGGGGGCAGGGCGGGGCCACAATAGGGAACCCAAATTTTACAGAGAAATATAAAGAACAAATCTTTAAAAATCTTATTCTTAAGAACCACTGGGCCAGGAAAGCTGAATCTTATATGGAAGCATTCTGGGGTAGTGTAGATTCTAAAGTTTTTAAATCAAAAAAGGGAAGGGGGTAGTGGGGCATGATAGGTATAGCAAGAGGGGGAATCTGGTAAGAACTGCATCACCCAAGTTACTCAGGTGAGCGATGTGGCCCATGGGTCTCTTGTTTACCTTGACATGAAATTTTTTTCTGTGTTTCAGTAAATTTTCCATTATAATTAAACATTCCTAGATAGTAAAACTGATTAACAACTTCAACATTGCAACCGTTGTATATCCAACGTTCATTTTCAATTATTTTACGACTATTGCAAAAAATTAATATTTTTGTTTTTTCAACATTGACAGTTAGATTCCACTCCGTGGTGTATGTATATAATGCATCCAACATTCTTTAAAAACCCTCAGCTGAGTCAGATATAAAAACAGTATCATCTGCATACATCAGTAATTTAATTTTGTTTGTATTCTAATCACTCATTGGTTGATTTCAAAAAAGGAACGCAAATTTTTTCTTAATTACCTGGTTTGGTATGGGAACACACCCCCTTGACAACCAGCTGAATCATCTGTATCCATACAATCCCCTCATTTCCAGTTCTTGGGATTCATGGGAAATTCCAGATTTAATAAATGTACTTTTAACTTTAAACAGTAGCTCGATCTTACCTCGTGTAAACAAACATTATGGCTGCTAGATCTGTGTATCAGTTATTACCTCCCCTGGTTTCATATCACTTCCGTTACCGTTACTTTAAAATTTTTCATCATTTCAATGCAGTCTGTGATTACGTGATAAAACAATCCTATTGAACGAACAGACTTACAACTGAAACATTTTTCATTTTTCCACTAGTATGTATTTCAAAGTGAACTCAATATAGAAGACATCGGGCTTGTGGTTAAATGTATTAAAATATTATATTATAAAACCATGGTACATGTAGTTGTTATTACTTACATGTACCATAAAAAAGTATTTGACATACATACAATGTACATGTATTTCAAGCAAACTGTCATGCCTCTTTAATTCAACACTGTAAAAAAATCCATTGATTACCAATTTAATTAGCATAAAATAAAATTATTAAATATATAATTGCATTATTACATATGAGGTGTCTACGTAGTTTGCATTGGTTGGTTACCCTTGTTCTTCAAAACTATATAAACTTTTAAGGTCAACTGAGTCACTCAGG